ATGTTGATGACTAGAGGCTTAATTTTTTCGTATGTTAGATAGCATCTAGTATTATGAATTCGATGGGAGAAGAACCTGGTGTATGAACCATTGTAAAGTGTCAGAGCTAGTTTTGTCACTTGGTAATTACTAGTGGTTTTCCAGATAATGTTTACTCTAACAAAATGGTTGATGTGCTAAAATTAAAGTGGCCACGGGCTGCAAAACACAATTGCAGCAGGTGGCAGAAAAGGTTACATGATTTGATAGTATGTCATATACATACTTTTGGGGGTTGCTGGAGTACGATATGAAAGCAGTGCATGTCACTGATGATACATTAGATGCTACATTACTAATGGTACTGTTCCTTTTCTTGTGGAAGTCCAATTGAATCTGTCATACACTAAGTCGAAGGATAGTGGCAGTTAACTGTTGATTAGTTCTGATGTCTGTACTTTCTAAAGTGCTAGTGTAGTTGCAGAAAAGATTTTCTTTTCTTCTGTTTCATTGGAGGCAGAGGATAGGTAGCGAAGGGGGTCTCTTCTATATACATTCTAGATCAGTTGAAGCATTTATTCAGCTTGTTAGACCATTGGGACAATTTAAGTTTTCTAAGAATGTTTCAGCAGTCAATAATCTATTAAATAATATGATCAACAACAGTTTCATATCATTCTGGGTTGCAAGCCTCCCCAATTTGTCAGGCCATTTCCTCTTGCTTAGTCATTCAACATATATGGAAGAGTAAAAATGTCAACAACAGGAATGTCTATTGTCTTCGTTGGCAGCAAAATGTACGCAGAAAGTAACTTTTGTAGATGTTCCATGCTAGAATGTTAATTTATGGATCAAAAGAGTAAGATATTACGGTAGCATATGCATATGCAGCTGTACATGTGTATTGCAATGTGATTTGCAGTGGTTTGTATTAGCTGACATTTGTCAGTTAATATTATCATAGTTTCTGTGGTAGAAACTATTTTAATTGATTTTTGTCATTTTTTTTACATAACATCAACATGTTCTCCTCGTTGTAATTTGCAGTCTGTAGAAATCCACAAGAGAGTTGGAGCATTTTCAGTAGCACTGGAAACTGTCAATAAGTGTCTCTCAGATGTGATCTGTGCCATGTCACGTGGAAGGTTAGATGGTGAAAGTCGAGCTGCTAGTCTAATTCAGTCAGGCAATGACATTTTGGAGAACTTTAAATATTCTTCTGGAGTCAGGTTGCCCTCGATAATGAAACCTTCAATTTCAGTTATTTAACATTTATGATGCAGATATATGTATTTTGTATGGATCTGTATTTCTCTTAGTTTGTGTTAGATTAAACTTTTAACTTTCCATGCTTGTTTATCCATATATTTATTTACCTATCCTGTCAGGAATCAACATATCATATCTTATTTAACACCATGAAGAATTATTTTGATTTTATTTGGCTAATTTCTGCTTCATCTTATGTCTTGTTTTCTTTCTGGTTTTTTCAGCTGTTTATAAAGTCAAAACAAGAATATTTCTTCCATGTAATTGATATTATATCACTTTTTTTTTTCTTATCTTTAAAAGGACTGCAAGTGTTGCTGTTGTTATGGCTTCTCAATTAATTAAAACACTTTCTTCAATTACATAAATATACATGTGCACTTTGTGAACTCTAATCTCTATATTCTTGTTTGCCTTTGTCATGAAAAAAACCAGCATAAACATTTTCTGCAATTCCTTTCAGAAGATTTCATGTTTCCTTCAATTTATTGTCTGTTGCTTCTGAAAATACTTGACAATTGTTACCATACATGAACATTTTTTTTCCCATACATGAACATCAGTGGGACACATTTTTTGACAATTATTGCAGCTTAGTTATCTGTCATTTGAGCTCAAACTACAGATGCTAGTGAGCACTTGGTTTTAGGAACCAGTGGATAGATGGGCTTTCATTTAAATTCTCAAATTTCTGAATGTAATAGGTGGGGTTTGGCATGGTCATAATTGAAAAATGTTCTGGGATTCCCTTTCTCATTTACTTTTGATATGATTATTACCTTGTTGTGGCTGGTGTTATATCAATGTATTAGAGTTAAAATCATGTTTATCAGCAGAAAATAAAACCATGTGGTGGGACTAGGAATTGAAGCAGATGTTAGATATAGCTACTAGTAGCAAGCGGTTGACGAGAACACTAGTGGCAGTGGTGGAGGCAATGCCAGTAACAGTGGCCGTGGCAGTGGTGGTGTTGACTGCAATGATAGGCTGAACAAACTACACAAAACGTTTGGAAAATTTTAAAAACTTTTTATACTATGTATACAAATATTTGGTTTTGCAAGAACAATTTTCATCTTTACATAGTAAATACATATTTTATGATTTTCTGTTCTCATTTAAGATTTTCAGAAAATTTATCCCCTTGCATTCTCTGATTTAACTCTATTATATGTCATTATATAATGAGTATGTCGTCGTCATCGACCATAACCTTTAACCATGTCATTTTTTCACTTGTAGCCTTCAAGAAAAGGAACCGGTTTCCGAACAGCAAACAGTGTTACGGCAGCTTGAAGCTATTCTACATATCAGTAAGCTAGCTAGAGCTGGCCAGCATGTTGATGCTTTGAGGGAGATCATTAAGATCCCATTCCTGCCACTGAATCCTCGAGTACCTGATGTTCACTATGATGTTTTCCAGAAATTGTCCCCACATGTCCAAGCATGTGTGCCACATCTTCTTAAAATCACTCTTAATTGTCTGGACAATGTTAAAGATACTGATGGAACACTGCGTGCGCTGAAGTCCAAGGTAAATATCCTATCTGTGTACATACCCTTTGTCAAAATTACAGACTTAAACTTATTACTAGTATCCTATCTGAAGTCCAATGTTGTCAATGACTTTTATGTCATGGATCCCTGTTAATTATTAGTGAAATGTGTAAAGGGAGGGGATCAACATGATCGCCTTATTTTGGAACTTGTTCTCCTCCCTGCACAAAAATTCAATATATTAAAGTTGTGCCTGGCTGTCCTTTTGATTAGGTCATTCCAGAATCATTCTTAAATCAGGAAAATTTTAGCTTTAAGAATTTGTCCAAAAAATAGGTATGATCAATTTAAGGCCAGCTGTGGTTTTCTAGTATTGTAAGCTGGGTATTGTGGAAGGTTATCCCAGACTTTTCTTCTGTAAGGGTGTCGTGTGCCCCTTTATAGATTGACAGTTTTAACCATGGGGCCCGTATAAATTCATGCAGCATTTTTCTGTTGCTTCAGAAAATTTAACATGTTCCCAATTATTTGTTCATCTCTGCTAATTACATATTGCCCTTCGGAATGTTGAACTTCTTCAAGTCATGTATATATTTTTCATTGGTAGAAGAATCATCATATTGAAGAACATAAATCTGAATCTTTGTCATGTCAACAACTTGTTTATGTTAAATGCTTATACTTCACATACACCTTTGTCTCTGCCTTTGCTTGTTCAACAGTGGTTGTTAATCTGTATAATTTGAGATGCAGATTGCAAATTTAGTAGCGAACAACATGAACAGAAACTGGCCACAGGACTTGATCGAGAAGGTTGCTCAAAGCATATGAAAAAGTGTTTCTGTTAGTGTGAGCTGCCACACTCTTCGCCTGTCACCACAGATGGATATGTAACTTGAAAATGAAATCATGCATCTCCGGATTATTATTATCCACCTGAGAGCAAATACTTGAGATGCCAAGTTTTCAACCTACTGAATATTCTGTAAACAAATATTGAATCTTAAATCAGTCTCAGCAAATCCTAGAGTAGATTGCTTGTGTAACGTGGAAAAGAAAATCTACATGATGGCGAACTAGTCCATTCTGATCAGTGTTCCAAGTGTTTTGTAGTATGTATATTGGCTGGATTTAAGCAAGGTAATGTATTAACTAAAAATCTGGATGGATCTGGTTGCAACATCTGACAGGAAGTTTATTCTAGATCTGAATCTGGATCCAAGTCTTTGATTTACAGACTCCCACCATGGTGAGCTTGATACTTGACTGTCCCATTGTCTTTGCATTTATTTGAACCCTCGATGAGTTTAACACAAAAATGTTCAAGAACTTGGATATGCTTGGGTCGTCATGCCATTCTATTCTTGTTGACGTTGTTGTGTATTTGAAATTATGGTTCTTTTTTAGCTCCTTGATACCTCAAGTTTTTGGCTCATGCCGTGAATTGTGATATGCACGAGTTTCGCTATGCATCATGTTTAGATGTCGAGGATCAAGTGAAGCTCGGGCCTAGGAATGCCTTTTTTTTCTTGGAAGACTTGACTCGACGGTCATGGATTGCATTGTCCTCTAAGCACACCTTCAGGGAAGTGATATTATTACATAATGTTAGAATTGCCTTTTTTATTTTTAGCAAGTCTTAAGAGCGATAGTTTTACTTGTAAGAAAGTTTTATTGACATTTGTTTGATCATCAACCAATGTATATCCAAAAGGTATTTGATTTAAATAGAAAAACTTCATTAGCGATGAAGATAATATGTTTTATAAATGTTTTATGTGTAGGGTGAAATTTTTTGAAAAAAAAAAATCTCTTTTGGGTTTTGAAAAAGAAATTTTTTATAAATTTCTTCGTTCATCATGATAGTGGTACTCTTGGTCATCGCCATGATAGGATTGAAGAAGCATGATCTTACAGAGGGGAAGGAGACGATCATGATAGGGTGAAAAGTAACAAGGCCTTGCAGAGGGGAAAGAGGCGATCTTGATGTACTACAATCATAGCAACTCTGAGATGATCAACAATGACCATTTGAAGGAGGTGGCAGTGATCAGAAGCCTCACTGTCGTGAATCAATGGCGTCATTCTACAGTTCCTTGTTCCATAGCTGTAGGAAGAAGAGTCGTAAAAAAAATTTGCAGATTCATAAGAGAATACTTTTATCTCGGGGATACTTAACTTTCCTGTTTATTTACACATAATAAACGATGAACATACACTGCTTCATGAGAACAATTCAAGCCACCACCATACTATGATGAACGTTAAACGATATTGAATGCAACTCCAGCTTGTTCTACAATTTCATTCAGAGATGAAACAGGCGTGGGTAATATTTACAGTATTGAAATATCATGGCATGCACCGGTGATTGGCATGAATGACTACGCAGTAGTCATAAGCATATTGGTCTACTTACCTCATCAAACCACCCAACAAAAAGGGCAACTCTCCAAAATACGATTTATCTATCAGTAGGGTCAAAACGATGCAAATGATTTCAACTTGAAAGAAAACTTGATCTTGGCTCTTCTATGCTTTTCTTTCATTTCAATTTCTTCTATTTGCTATATACTCCACAGTCCGTCTTCCTTCTCTTCACTCTGGTTGAAGACCATAGGCAGGATGTTTCCTATCATTCCGCTGGCGATAGAAATCTTGGTGCTGCATCCAAGTCCAAACGAAATAAGTTATGAGGCCTAAGCAGTCCCATTAGGCAAACACAAATCATGGATCAGAAGTCCCACACAGAAAGACTTGACAGAAAATAATAATTGAGTTTTCCCTTTAATCAGATTGGCAATGAACCCAACTGATAATTGATTTGACAGAAAATAAGGTGGAACTACGATTTATTCGCTATATGAGAAAAAGGACTGCACCTCACCTTCCCGAAATGAACTGATTTGCTAAGCCCATTTGCATCTGAGGTCCTCATAATTCTAAGCCTCTTGACTGTTTCCAAGAACATTCTGCAAAGCAGGATGTCAAAACTGGTTCAGATCACTGCAGTCCAAGATAAGATTTTGACAGAGAAAACTAAGACTGAGATAGTGCAACAGGATCAATAGTATATCATAGAACCATAGAACAATCGATCTCGAATGATGAATTTATAGTAATGGTGTTTGAGACACCACGATATCACCGAATGTTTCAGCAAAAGATGATTCCTGGACTTTTCATGTATAGGAGGGTTCATGTATCACTAGACTAGACTGGTATCAGTGTGAAGTGCAAAGAAGGCTTACCCCCATGGCACATCTCCAACCAGCATCCAATCCCCATCCTTGTCTTCATAAGTAAGAGCAAACCCAGAAGAGCCATCCAACAAATTTGAAATCTTTGCCCCATCTGCCATCATCCACACCACTGAAATTATAACCCCATCACATTCCAACATTGCTAGCAAAGGATTTAGATGATCTCTGGTTTGATACAATTTCTTATGCTGGACATATAGGCAGATCAGATCATGGCATATCTAAATTAGAACAAGAAATTCCCACTCTGATCCTGAACTCTGCAATTGTGAACATTATGCATGGTAATGAACTTACCGACAGAGACCGCAAGGGCAGAGGCCTTGGTGGGCTTATGAAACATGAGCTCCAGCGCGTCTGCGAGGGCCTCATAAGAGTGATGAGCATCGAGATCCACCTTCCTCCCAATAGGGTCGCCGTCCATCTTCACTTTGACGAAGAATGATCTCCTCATTACTTTTCCTCTACTCCCCTGATGTTGGCTGTCATTGCCTGCCCTGCTGGGGACGATGGCCTTCTTGACAGCAACGGCAGCATCAACCTCGGGGGCGTTGTCTTTGAAATGGTTGAACAAGCTGTTCATCCTGAACGCCCTGATGGGCGGCCATCCCACCACCACCTGACTGCTCCAACACATCAAATTTTTTCGGTATCAATCTAAAGATTAAGAGAACGCAACCCTTTTACCGGACATCAACAGCAAAAGCCTGAAGGATGTGATAAAAAAAGATCGTTTTTTTTTCCCCTTACTGTTCCTCTTTTTGCTGGTTCTAAGAGTGTCAAAGCCTTTACGAGAAGCACTAAGAGAATAAAAGCAGGAGGTTTTTCGGATCAAGTCATTTGCAGTAAAAAGAACACCTAACGTGAAGAGCAAGAAAGAAGAGACAGAGGAGGAAGATTGGGTTTACCTGGGAGGATGAGGGGAGCTACCGACGTCGGGGGAGATGGATTCCGCCGCCCGCTTTGTCCCGGCGACTCCCGTCCCGGTCCCGCCACCGCCCAGGTTGGTGCCGGAGGACGACGACACGGAGGAGGCGGAGGGGGACCTCGGTGAAGCAAGGGACGCCAGGGGCGGGAAGTCCTTTGCCGTCAGGATGCGGCAGCACGGCCCCCACATCGCAGGCGTCGCCTTCCCCCTCTTCGCCGCCCCCAGGGTCAGCCCCAGCTCCAGCTCCTCCTCCTCCAACTCCTCCTCCTCCTCAGCATGATCGACATTCGCCACTTCTGCCTCCGCATCCCCCATCGCTCCTCTTCCGACGTCCTCCACCACCAAATCCTCCTCTGCCTCCGCCGTTGCTGCCGCTGCCTTTGACACCGAAGACACCGACCCAGGCGACGCCACGCCTCCGCCGTACCCGCCAACCGCTTTCATCTTTCTCGCTCTCTGGGGAGGTGGTGTTCTTAAGGCCAATGACAGCCCCAGCGCGATGACGAGACCCATTTTATGCAGCGAGTTTGAGGAGCTACGGGGGAGAGTGCACGTGTCTACCGCGTCACACCCGCCAATGATCTCTCGGTTCCAGTGGGCCCCGTTTAATCAGCCAGACATTTTCTCCGACGAGGCGCGGTAAATTCGTCGCGTAAATCTTTCTAGTTCCCAGAAAAGCGTGTGCTCCCGACGCTAGTGGGCCCCGACACTTCCCTCGTTCCCCTCCTCCCGAATCAAACTCCCCATCACGTGTTTCGACCCAGAGACGGAAACAGCGTTTCCCTCTCACAGGCCACGTCTCATGACGTCATCACGCACTCCCTGACATCATAGACACGTCCGGGACGTGAGAGCCCTCCGTGTTCTGTACGTCGGCCCGGACATCTCATCGTGATTCTTGGACCCTAGAGGGGCAGCTCACTTAACACGAGCAATCGAGTTAACAGAGGAGGGTGGTGTCAATGTCATGAACCAATGAGCCGCTGCAATTGGTACCTTCATCAAAGGAGGAGGTGTTGTTGTTCCTTCAATTCCATTTCAACGAGGGGACATAGGATTGGGGCCGGGAAAGATGCTGTCTCTCTAGTGGAAGGTAGGAGGAAAAGAGTGGGAAGATGCTACCTCGAGAGATCGGCTACTTAGCCATGACACACCAAACACATATATCACCACTCGTATGCTTGCATCCATCTACTTAATGCTCGATCGGAGACAAATCACATCACCTATCACTCCTGCTGTAGGCCACGTTGATGAACTTTCGACCAATTTTGACCTCCAAACCTCGCCTCCTTTTTATCATTGCCTCCCCCTAAATAATTCCCTCCGTGCTCCTAGTGCCAAATTAGCTTAGATCGATCATGCTCCTTGCTAAGCATTCGCGCACGGCGCGGTTCCACGAGCGAAGCGTACGCGATGACGCGTCTCGGCACCAGCCGTCGGATGAAGAACCAGTCTCTCGATCCTTCGGGTGGGCTGCGCTGCGACGCCCGGTCTCGTGCGCGTGGAAAACGGTGGTGCGGCGTAGTGCTCCAGGGTGAGGCGACAAGCCGACAAGAGTGGGGCCCGGCGGCGACACGCGAGCTGCTGCTGCTCACCACGTGGACGAACAGCACCGGGTGCTTCCGTCGGGCCCCACCGGGTTCGAATCCGGAGTGTCGCTTTCAATTTCGAACAGAATTTGCGACCCGGTGCGGACGTGGGAGGTGGGGAACCCCACACGATGGCTGTTATGCGACATCTCGTCAGCGCCGTCCGTCGATCAGGTAAGGACATCTGGACCGCGAATCTTTATCGACCGCATACGGATTCGCGTGCACGAGGCTATGCGGGAAGGCATCGAACACGTCGACAGCGAAAGGGGACAGCGCTACCCATCCCCAACGGTGGTGGGGACGGGTAATGATGAGCCCGAGAAACTCGCTTTCCGTGTGCTGCCATCGAAAGGGCGCGTCTCATAACGTGCCGTTATAATATGCTCGTCGTAACAGTGCTCTTGGATTACAACTTTGACCAATGCGAAGGAACGCAAATTCGATGTGATTCGGTATTATTATTGACTGCAATGAAATATCTGCGGAAGAGATAAGGAAGGTAGAAAGATTTGCAGCAGCATCCTTTCCCTGACCTTTCGGTTCGGAGTCGGAAACCCATGAGACCGAGACTGCCGGTTGATCTTCTCACACCGTTGCATAAAGTCGCGAATGGGCAGCCGTATAAGAAAATAAAAGTGAGAACAAACAAAGCTTTTGTAAGAAAAAGAGGAGTACACCATTGACTTGAGAGTCCACTCGAAGCTTATTCTTTGATCATTATCTTTTGCACTTGAGGTTTAACAATGATTAGGCCACTCAGAACAACTTTAGGTGTCTTCTCTTTATGGATAATGCTTACTACCACAATGAAGAAGGCGAAAAATGAGTAAGAGAAATGCATTGCAAGCTGAGAGAGACATCTTATAAGCAGATGCTTTGGACCCAGGTATCAATCGCCGGAGACATGAGCGGCACGCTTGTCTCCCAAGTTTCAAGTTAAAACACACAAACTAAGAACTCATTCCATAGGAGACAAACAAGATTCTTATCTTTCTCCAAAAGCAATGCTGCTTGTCGGAGTTCAATCTTTTTCCGGGTCTAAATCGAACAGTGAGGCAGTGGTTCTCGAGGGGATGAACAGAGAACCCACCCCAAGCAAAACAGCTTCGTTTGGTGAGAGTCATGATTGAAGAAAAAGCCACCTGGAGTATAATAAAAGTGCAGCAACTAAGATGGCTTTGAACAACCGATCTCGTTCCTTTTGTGTTTGTCTCATGGCCAAGTTCCATGAACCTCTTCTCGAAGAACACTGCACAGGTTTTTGCCGAGTGGTTGCACAAAAAGACACAGATCATAGCTTTTATTTTGATTAACTATCGCATACTTTTTGACGTGATGCTTCGTCCAAGAAACCTCCATATGCATTTGGCATGGCCTTGTCATAGTCTTGAGATGGATTACGATGTGTAAATTGAATTGGCAAAGACCCTCGCTTTAACTTTGTTCTCTCTTTTGGATTGCCGATCAGATGATCATGGCCATGAAACATCATACGGTTTCTAAGATGAATCATTTCATGACATTTGTCGTAGCAAACATATATATTCTTCAGGAACTTGATGTCAAAGCCAAAACTTCTGAAGAAGTAACCTCAGCATGAAACATTGAGTACACATCGAGTGCCGTGGTTTTGACACAGATGAGGGATGCTGTCACGATCGACGACATTTCTTCAAGCTCACTTCTTTCCAGAGAGAGAGAGAATCCATCCTTACCCTATAGCTGATTGTAGAAGAATCATCACATGCTTTATTCTGAAGTGGAATCGTCTCTTCACCATCTGTCTCTTCTTTTAGCTCTTTTTTGATTTCTGAGACATTTGCTATACTATTATTGATTCTATTTCTTTGAGTGCAAAAGCATCAAACCGACTTTTGGATGATGATCATAGGAAACGCAAGCTGACATTCTTAAGAGTAGATTTGATAAACTCATTACCTTCATGATCGTTGCAATGTTAGAGCCAGAATTACTTGAAGGGAATCCATGGTCTTCTTGCCTGCCCCCATCGATGACATCTTGTTGATGATAAGAAGCAACAAGCCAGCAGAAGTTGGAAGATCTCAAGGAAAATGCTGTCTGTAGAGCTGCATATTTGAACCTCGGTTACAGAAGCTTAATGTTGCACAGAATCTTGCATGAGTAGTGAGAAGTAGCCAAGGATTTAAACTAGAAGAAATTAAAAAGAATAGAGATTAAGTACAGTTCTGAAAATTGTTAGATTACATGATGTTATCTAATTTTATGAATATAATTAAATTATGATTATGATTATTGATCAATAGAAAGAAAGTTTAATTATAATAGAATTCTCCTAACTATCTGTCCTATATCATTTGTTCTCGTCTATAAATAAACAAAAACTTTTAGAGACTTAATACAAATACAACAACACACAATAATTTAGTACATGAACATGCATATATGTGGGTATGCAAACATATAGATACGATAATATGATTGAGATATTACATATATTCTTTCCTATTATTTTTGTTCATGAATACATCGATCATATTACATCGATCATATTGGTCTTGTGAAAAATAGGAAGAGAGGAAAAGACGAGTCTAGTTCTCATTATAGATTGATGATACATCATATGTATCTTGGATTCGATGATGGTGTACTCGCAAATCAAAGAAAAGTTTTTATTAACAGCATTGAAAGATACGCATAGTGTAAAAGTAGCATGAAGTCGAGAAGAACGTATACACAAACGAGAACTAGATCTTTGATTCTTTTAATAATCGAAAATCTTTATCATTGAATCAGCCAACTCTAAAGATATAAATATAAATCCGAGAAGGACGGCATTCAGATAGTGGTCATCCACGATAAATTTCATTACGACTTAATTGAAATTTAGGAACGTTCTATGCCACTTGGATTAGGGACTAATGACTCGTTCGATTCCATGCCGACCCCTGTGGCGTGACAATATCATGTCTAATTCTAATCCCTGGCAGGTGACAATATCATGTCCAATGAGTGCTTTGATCTCGGAATCATCCGCGAAGTTGCACGTTGAGTTGCAATTCCACCCACGAAACATCGATTTGATACTATTGGGGGCCCAAATCAAGCGATTGGACTACACCAATTGGGCCCATTTATCGTGTTTTCTCTTACTACCTCGTTAGAGTAATTGGAAGCAGGGAGAGTAATTACTTATCGTAATTAAAGATTATATATCCTAATTGTAGGAAAAAACACGCAAATTAGGTGAGATTGGGGACCGAAATCCAAATCTCCCAATAGGAATGTTCAATATTTTACCAAAAGAGGGAGTGGATTAAGTGACGTTAGCGGAGATGAAGCCAATGCCAACCCAAATTGGAATACTTCCTCGCTCGCTTGGTGACACGCACGCACGCAATCTCTTTCTATATTTACGATGGCCGTCCGCATGAATCACATCCGAAGCCCACCCGCTCCTAATCCACCTCCCTTCAGCTCACGACACCAGAGAAGGGTACAGAGAGAGAGAGAGGAGAGAGAGAGAGAGAGGCGAATAGAGTAAACCCCCTCCGTCTTTATATTTTTCTTGGGATTGATTCCAAGAATTGTCGCAGCGGAGATGGAGATCGACAGGGCCGTGGGGGAGAGCTGCGATCGGCGGCTGCAGACCAAGTATCGGAACGCCGTCTATGTGATTCAGCGTGCCTTCGCTCTCTACGAGTGAGATTCCTACCCCCAATACGGCAATATCCCTCCCTCTTTCTCTCTCTGTTTCTCTTTCTTTTTCTGATGCGTGAGGGGTCTTCGGTCGGATTCTTGATCGCAACCGAAGTCTTTCTTGTCAGTTCTTGATTCTTTGTTGTTAATGTTTGCTAGTGGACACGTGTTGTTAGTTTCTTGGTGGGGTGTTTTCTGA